GAGGTTGGTTTTTCATTTTATAGTGGTCCTGGGTGCTGTGGACCACCCAGGCACTCTAAAATAAACCACTCAACCTACCTCACTGTAAAACATCCATCCACTCTAAAATACACTCTCAACCTTCTACTTTTCGAAGCTTCTGAGACTATAAACTCAAAACTCAAGACTCCACAAATTCAAGTGCTTTCTATAGAATGAGAATCCAACCTACCTCACTGTAAAACATCCATCCACGCTAAAATAAACTCTCAACCTTCTACTGCTCCAGGTTCTCTCTATAGAATCAAAACCTCTGTCCTCTATAAAATGCCCTCAATTTTCATATATTCTCTATAAAATGAGGGTGGTCAACCTAGTGATCCATCAACATATGATTCTCTCACGTCAGATATCCTCAGAATGGATCTTTTTCAGGTAGGTTGACTTTTGATTCTATAGAACTTCTCTATAAAATGCTAGGTCATTTTGGAGCTCGACCTCCCCCATTCTATAGGGGTTACTCCAAGGGGTATACCAGTGGCTTCATCAAAATTCAAATGTAAAAACATGTAGAACAATTGAAACGGAATTTCAGTTGAGTTCTTCTTCTTCTTCCAAGTTGCTCCCAAGGCTCCAGTGCTGGCGGAGGCAGTAGGAAATCATCCACTTTCACATCCCCTCAAATTGCTCAGACTCTGAGGCTGTCCGGGGGCCTTTGACTTACTGAGCCTTTCTCAGTTTAGCGTTTCGAAGTATCGGAGCACCACGGAACCAACAGCCAACAGCAAACCGCAGCACCAGTACTATGCATCTTTGCACTTCGTACTTGCGTAGTGTCGTTCAAGTTTGCGCAGGTGCCTGCCCGCAGCGGCTTGATCATGGGCGTTGGTGGCGCTTGTGCCATAAGGCGCCTCAATTTGACAGGACAAACAAATCCCACAACGATGTGCATCACATATCATAGAAAACCATTGCGCAAACCCATACGCATGGTCCATCAAAAAGAGCGCAGCGCCCAAGCTCCACACGGCATTCTTTCCAGCAGGAAACTTCAGTCGAAAGCACGAATCAGCTTGATGCAAGATTGGCCGCAAACAAATGAATCCGTGAAGCCATGAAACTGCTACTCTAAACGGCGGGTTCCTTGCAAAACAGCACGGCCGAGGCAAGGAAAGCACAGCGTACATGAAACATAAGGCCAAGAAAAACATCAGCCTGTCATCCCCGGGGTCCGTGGAGATGATGCAAATCTTATCTGACCTTTCAGCGGCTTCAAGTGTGCCCCGCATAAGGGAAGGACACGGGACACATCACAACATCAAAGCGCTTCGCAGTTCATGTGTTGGTTCGCGGTAAAGGTGTCCACAGCTACAGCTGCTGGGATCAGGGCCTGGGAGACAACTTGCCAAAGGCCACGTGGCCAAACTACACGCGCATGTGTATGTGTGCATCTTTCAAGTGCAACTATTTTTTCCGAATGCGTAGTGAAGGGTTCTCGTTTAACTCTGGGGGTCTCGGGGCTCTTGTTCGCGACTCGTTGTCGTGTGTTTGCAGCCGTCTGCAAACGTTCGCGGTGGCGCTGACATTGGGTGAAGCTTTTGGATGGCAGCATGACGTGTCAGATTCGGGTGAAATAGCGAGGAAGCGTATGGAAACCTAGCAGGATGAAGTGTGGAGGGTGATTTTTCTGCGCAGGTGCGTGTTTTTGAGGTGATGGTGGCTGTAACATTGGGATTTGCGCTTGAGGCTGTTGCTTGGAAGCTTTGTTTTCGTGACTAAGTCTCAGCTAAAATGGCCGTTTTGGTGGATGGGAGTATGCTGAGAACGTGTCGGTATCTTTTTTACGGAAGACATGAACATGATTGAACATGGCGTATCGTCACTTTCCGTGGCAGGCGCAGTGCTTTGTACATGTTGAAGGTGTCGAAATTGAATTGTCGTGGCAGGCGCGAGGGGTCGTGAGGTTGCCATGTTTGGTGGAGGTGAATGTTGCTGTGACATTGGGATTGGTGAGCTGCTTGGCAGGGCCCCAGAGTGTGTTTGCACTGATGAGACTTCCTGCTTCACCTTTGAAGGAGGTCTGACTTTTCGGAGTCTCGTGCGAAACGCTTGTTTTTGAAGTTTTGGAGGAAGTCTCGCGCGAAGCGCTCGTTTGGGAAAAGCGTGTAACGAGGGAATCTCGAACGAAACGCTTGGAGACTTGGCGCGCGCCTTTCGGAGGAAAATCTCGCGCAACACGCTTGTTCTACAGACTTGACGCGTCGCACGCAACGCTTGTTTTCGATACTTTTGCTTCTGGGCGCTGTGGAGCTGTGGCATCAGAACTGGCCACTTGGTAGTACAGATGCAGCGCTGGAAGCAACTTCTGGGGGACGCAGCTTCTGGGAACTGCGGCCTCAGAAACTGCTGGGGGAAGGAATACGCGCTGGCCTAAATTCGGCATGTTGCTGGGAGCGGGACAATTGGCGGTGTCCATGAGGCTTCCTTGATGTTACATTGTTGTGTTTAGTCCGTGGCAGACCACAAGAGTGTTGCGTGAGAATACCCCACAAGGGTTTCCCACAAGAGCGCCGTACAAGAATCTCCCACAAGAGTGTCCTGCAGAGTGTCCCGTAAGACAGGAGAGAGCGCCCCGCAAGAGTTCCCTAGTGTCCCACAAGAGTCCTGCAAGCATGCCCCACAAGAGTGTCCTACAAGTGTTTCAAAGTTTTCTACAAGAGTGTCCTACAAGAATGTCCCGCGAGGGTCTCCTACAAGAGTGTCGCGTGAGAGTCCCCCACAAGAGTGTTCTACAAGAGCGTATCCTACAAGAGTGCCCCGCTAGAGTGTCCCACAAGAGCTTTGCGCAAGAGTGTCTTCTACAAGAATGTCTCCCGCGAGAGTGTCCTACAAAAAGTGTCCCGCAGCATCAGGGGCTGCCCTACGCAGGGCCGAGCGCCGACACAGGACAACCCGAGCAGGTGGAGTGGAAAGACTCGAGTCTGGGCGATTGATCAGGCTACGGTGGAAGTGAGAACACTTCGACGAGGGTCCTTTGATCTTCAAGCCACTAGGTTTAAAGGAGGCCGGAGGCCTCCCTTTGAAATTGGTAGTCGGAGCTCTGTGGGATCGCATCTAGATCAATATCGGGACCCTGAGATACATCAGTGAGCGCGCTGTTAGCACAGCTGGTGCCAACGTTTAGGGCTGGGGTTGATTTCTCAGAGCCTGGCCAGAGAAGCGCGTGTTGCCTGGACTGACAGGTGGGCACGTAAAGTTTAGTAACGCCCCTTGTCGGAAGACAAAAAACTTGTTCTGGGGCGGAAGCAGGCGGAGCCTTGACCATGCAAAAGGTCTCTGCAGCCATCCGCACGCTTGGGTTGTCAAGGCGACCAGGAGTGCACTTCAGGCCGCAAAGAGAAAGGCCTCAACACCTATGATCAGCCGGCGTTCTCCATAAAAAAGGAAACACCGAAGAAGAAGGCCAAACCGCCAGGCCCTAGGTTTAGGAAAATGTCTGGGGATGAGTTGAATTTGACACGGCACTGGAACAGCTTAATCGATCCAACAGCCGATTTCAGAGACTACTCAGGACGATCCAGACTTAGTCGCGCATCCGAGCAACTATCGTCATGCAGTCATCGACACTGAAGAAAGAACTCTTTAAAGTTGACATCCTTCCACTCTTAAGCGCAAAACCAGCTTCGCGACAGAGGATCAAAAGAGGCGGGAGTGAGCGCAAGAGGCCAACCAGCATTCGCAGCCCGAATCAAAATCACCGACGCCACATGCTACAGCACATTCCGAGAAGCTGTTGTCTAAGTTCTTGCTAAAATCGGAATGGCAGGAGCGAGCAGAGGGAAAAAACAAGTCGGCCGCGAACGCGCGCAAGCCATCGGGAATAGTATTTTCGGTAGCCTTGCCCTGAGTCTGCGAAATTAGCGCTCATCGATGTTTCTTGAGATGTAAGAAGACATTTGGATAAGACATGCGGTAGATTAGTTTAAGCCAATTTTTGTGTATGACCTAAACAATTTAACAAGGTGTAGCCTAAACTAGTTTAGGTTGCTTCTTTTTGAAGTCGGGGAAAATGATGGAACAGTTAAGCATTTACATTGAAGTTTTTCACCAGGTAGCGAAGCTATGGGGTTCTTACTTCAAATGACAATGAGTTGCCCGCGCGCGCTTTCGAGACAGGTTGCTGGTGCCGGCTGTGAGCTGGCTGTGCACGCGGTGGAGACAGGTTGCTGGTGCTGGTGCCGGGTGCCCGTGCTGGGTGCCGGTGCTGTTTCTTCAGCGCTCAAGTATATAAATGTTCTTTCTGCCGAAGTATTTGCAACTTCAAGGACTCAGGTACACGAAAACATGGCGTAAGTAAACCCATGAATTCTCAAATCAATCTATTTTTGCGTAAATGAATCTATGAATGCCCAAGTCCATATGCTCTCACATCAAAACTCCACTAGACACCAAACCAATGGTTTACTTGAAAGCCTATCCATTGTGTCAATCAAAGGGGTCGGGACTTTAATCGGAATTACTTTTAACTTTTAACTTGTTTTGTTTGTTTTTTGGTGGTCTGTGTGGTTCTCAATGGGGAAGGCGTTGCAGCTAGAGTTTTCGTCTAGAAGAGTCGAAAGCAAAGAATGCAATAGAAAACTCACCAAGGGAGATATTTCAATATAACAGCCAGAAAATAGCGATTTTAACAGAAAAAGTTATCAACACTAGCGATCGTAATGGGTCAAAATGAGAGATTGTGACTAGTAAAGTCATCAAGAGCAGAAAAATCAGTAGACAATTCATCAAGCATGTTTCAGTAGGGGAAAGGCATCAAAAGTAGAGATTTTGACTAGCAAAGTCGTTGAGCGCAGAGAATTTAGTAGACTAGAAAATCATCAACGAACACAACGTATAGTGCAGCGCCTTCCCCCATCAAAAGAGAGAGTTCAATGTTCAATATCAACGTGGTAGAACATAGTGATTTTATAAGGTGCCCTATTGAGATTTCAATATTAGTACAATAGTTGATGTCGCAAAAAGTAAAGATTTCGATTGAAGAAGCATCGCGATAGAACTGTTTTCCATTGTTTTGCTGCTGGTGCTCCTGTATGGACCAGTTTGCCCTAGACAAAGCTGAGCCCCATTCTCAAAGTGAGGGCCAAAGTCCACAGGAGCCAAAATCCACCATTCAGGAACCACAAAAGCCGCTGCCAACAGCCACCAAACCCACCTAACCGCAAAAAAAACCATCTAAAACAATCTCCCTTAAAATCACCCTCCCAATCAAAGCTGCCCCAAGATTGTCACCAGGATCAAAGCACCCTGACCACCTTAAGAAATGATAAGCTCACCAGTCACTTGGGGGGTGGCGCTGTTCAACATGACCTCAAAGACGCGCTTCACCTTCAAGTTGTCCAAGTTTGTCAATCCTCATGTGGAGTGGTGCTTTGAAGGGGGGCCCACAGTGCACTGGCCAGTTGGAAAGGTTGTAGTTCTCGCGTTTAGGCGCCTTTCCCACTGACGGGGCCCTTTCCAATGTACAATGGCAACGCGTTTTACTGAGGCACTTCTTTTTAAGGAACTTGCTGCAGTTCCCGGGGGGTTTTCCAATGTCCTTCAGCACGTTGCATGTTAAAACATTTCTTGAGAGTTTTGTTCAGTTCTTCTGATGTTTCCGGTGTTTTTGCTTTCTACCGGGGCGACTGTCCAATGTCCTTCTGCATGTTGTTGCATTTTTTTTGGTGTTTTCTATGCGTTTATGCTGTTTTTGGTGTGCTTTTGACACCTACAGTAAATGAATTTAGGTAAAAACGCGGTGTAGGTAAATTTCAAAACTTTGAAGATTTACATCAATGCATCGAACATGTGAACTTAATGTTGACCTTTGAAATAAAGGTGAATTAGTATTCAAAGTAGAAATGAATTGGAATTGAATTTGAATTGAAATTGAATTTAACTTGAGTTCAATTTCATTTGAGTTGAATTAGAATTGAATTTAAATTCAATTGGAAAGAATTTGAATTTAAATTCAATTGAATTGAATTTGAATTGAAGTTGAATTTTGAGCTGAATTAGAATTGAGTTTGAATTCAATTGAATTGGAATTGATTTCTTTTTGTGGTAGATAAGCCTTAGCTATATTTAGCGTGCGCTATATTTAGGGTTTGGTGGCTTTATGGGGAAAACCCTTTCCAGAATGGTTTTGATGATTTTTAATAGGTTCTAAATAGGGTGTTTATAAAGAATTGTTATCAAAAGGTTTCTACGTTTTGGTAAAAGAGAGTGAGTTTGGAAGGAACCAATTAAGAAAAGCTTAAAGATTATTGGAACCAATTAAAGTCCTTAACTTTTTTCAGGGCGCACTTTATTTAGGGCTTGGTGGCTTCATGGGGGTTTTGATCAATTTTC